TGCGTTGAAAGAAAGTCGGACCCTCCTATTAGATTTTTTTTTTCTATAAAGCAGGGTGAAAATGTGTACGATGAAAATAAATTTCATTTTATTGGTTGTTAATGCTTTTGGGAATTTTTTTTAACTTATCCTGCATTACTCCGTATTGCATTTACTGCTGTCTTTGACAGAGAGACGAACTGTGTGAGATCCAGCTGCTGAAGAAAGTTGTTTCCATCTGTCCAGGAAGCAGCGCCCCCTCCCACACAGTCGGCACGTGACCCGGAAGACATGACGTCATGTCAAAACTCATAACTGCTTTGTCAACCACATGGATCGGACGTGAACTGTATCCCTCAGTGGAATTATTAAAGCTTTCTTGGTCCTGACTTTCTTTCGTTTTCTACGACAAAAGTCTGCTGTATTACCTTTGCCTTCATTATATTGTTAATTGGTAACGTTTCTCGCTCGGGTTGTGACTCTCGTCACGGTTTTTCCGAGCGTATTGTTGTTTCCCGCCATTTTGGTTTACCGCCATTTTTTCCCGCCCTGTTGCGATTCACTACGTGTCCACGTACTTTCGTGTTTTGTGTCTTGAATTCGCTCTATGGTTGGAGTTTTACATTAAGTTTAATGATTGTTTTTGGCGTGTTTGAAGCGTAATTGTTTGCTCTTATTAACTTTGTAACAAGAATAAGTTATGTTGAGTTACATTATGTTTCACGTTGTGTGTTTACACATCGTTATGTTTTTTGCTTCAATTCCAGTATGTCTCGCTGCTCTCGCTGCCGCGGGAATAAATCTGGACGGGACCCCCACCCCTGCTGCCTGGACTGTACAACCCCGTGTACCCTCACAGAGCGTTGCAGTTATTGTAGTCCCCTGTCGCCAGTCTCCTTCACCGCCTACCTAAGAGTGTCTCGGAAACGATTCACCCAGCGTGTGCGTCGACTCTCCAACATGCCATCCAACGTAGAGTCTGCCTCCCATGGCACGACTTCCGACCGTACACGGTCTCCTACACCACCCTTACCGTCGTCTGCTTCGACATCATCGTCTGCAGCATCGCCCGTTTCGGGTTTCCTGTCACCTCTACCATCTACGACGACAACTCCGGCGCCTCCGATGTACCCGGCGCCTCCGGCGCCTCTTGGTCCGGCGCCTCCGATGTACCCGTAGCCTCCGATGTATCCGGCGCCTCTTGGTCCGGCGCCTCCGATGTATCCGGCGCCTCTTGGTCCGGCGCCTCTGATGTACCTGGCGCCTCTTGGTCCGGCGCCTCTGATGTATCCGACGCCTCTTGGTCCGGCGCCTCTTGGTCCGGCGCCTCCGATGTATCCGGCGCCTCTTGGTCCGGCGCCTCTGATGTCTTCGATGTATACGGCGCCTCTGACTACTTCGGCGCCTTTGACTTGTGCTGCGCCTCCTACTTATGGACATGCCCTTCCGTCATCGTTCATGGATCAATCTTGGATGCAAGCTTGGATGCAGTCATTGTTTGCGCAAGCTCAACCCACCTCAGCGGCGCCGACGGTGCCTCCTGCGACGCCGGCGACGCTGACGGCCCCGACTACTGTTACTTCGATTCCTGCGGCCCCCTCCACATCGGGTACTTCTCGGTCTCGAACATTGTACACCTCGTCGCCTCCGACTGTTTCTCGGCACTCGTCCAAGTCTGCTCGTTCCCGTCGTCGCTCTAGTAGTCCCTCTCGTAGTCGCTCACCCGTACATAGACGACGACGTCGTTCCTCCTCCTCGGAAGGATCTTTTCGCCCCAATTATGACCCTCCATCTCCCGAGATTGATACACACTTGGGCCTTTCACAGGTTGCTGATTGGTTGGCGGACCGTCTGGCCTCTGTCGCTCCCTCCCCGGGCTCCGATGTGGATAAAAAGTTGACGATCTGGTCTAATCCGACGTCTCTACCACCCGACCCAATGCTCACTGACCTGGTTACGGCGTTGGACGAGGACTTCGCTAAGTTGTCCCTCACGCCGTCGTTCAAGGCTCCACGTTTCCGGCGGGAAGATTTCCCCGTCCACTCCTTCGACGTGGCCGATGGTGCACATATCCTTGACGAGTACTTACATCGAATGACCGGGTCTTCCCAGTCCGTCACCATACGTATGCCGGACTCCCGACTCGCTTTCGTGGAAACAGAACTGCGCCGTACTTTGAAGCCACTATCTACACTTGCCTCATCTGCCAGAGCCATTGACCAGGATCTCGCTGAATCCAATCCTAACAGGATCGACCACTTGCGCACGGTTATGACATTCCAACTTCGCCAGATTGATCACATGCGCAATCACCTGAGAGCTGCACTTGCGGAGATCACCACTACTCGACGGTTGGGTTACTTGACTTCCACGGACTGGGATTCCGAATTCAAGCGTTCCTTACTACGACAACCTTGGTCGGGTCCTACCCTTTTTAATGGTGCTATCTCCGCTACCCACACCCGAGTCTCCAGCTTCGCCAGGGATGAAACTGCTCTCAGAGCCTTGAAGCATGTAACACCAATCAGCGGCCAAGTCCTCCAAAGGCAACTATAAACCACGCCGTTCCTCCCTCAAGGTCGTCTCCAAACATACCTCGCCCTTTCGTGGGACAGGGCGTGGTCGTGGTAGAGCCCGTGGCACTTACCAACCCCGAAGGGATCGTCGCCCCGGCAAGGGTGCCGATTCCACCTCAAAGCGTTGACCGGCGGGACCTCAACGACTGGGACCTCCCACCCCCAGCCGTTCCGGTCACCGACACACCTGTGGGTGGGAGACTAGGCCGGTTTTGGAGAAACTGGTCCATACTGGAGGACCCGTTCGTCACCGACGTCCTCCGTCAGGGGTACCGGCTCCCATTGTCTGCGCTGCCTCCTCTGACGTCTACTCCGTCAACAGCCGCTTATTCACCCCACCAGCTTCGGCCCCTTTACGACAGCATCGTTTCCCTACTCCAGAAGGAGGCCATAGAGATCGTACACGACCCGGCTCGACACCCAGGATTTTACTCTCCGGTGTTTCTGGTGCCCAAGAAGGGGACCACCAGCTGGCGCATGATACACAATCTCTCCACTTTCAACCGGCACTACCTGGAACGTCCTCCCTACTTCCGAATGACGACGTTGCGCCTGCTCAGGACGAGAATCTCAGCTGGCAAATCCCTGATCAGCCTCGACATCCAGGACGCCTATCTTCATGTACCCATCCACCCCAACGACCGGCGCTTCCTCAGGTTCTTTTTCAATGGTACCCATTACCAGTGGGCGGTCCTACCATTTGGAATTTCAACGGCCCCGTGGCTTTTCACACGGATCACCCGCCCGGTCGCCGCCTACCTACACCTGAGGAACATCAACTTCGATCCATACATCGACGATTGTCTCCTCAACAATCGGGACTCGGCGTTGCTACTGCGTCACAGGGATTTTACCCTGCGGCTCTTCAATCAGTTGGGTTGGATCGTCAATCAGACCAAGTCGGAGCTGACCCCATCGTTCCGTCTGCAGTTTATCGGGGGCCTGTTTCTCACGGATCAGGACCTCCTTCAAGTCCCCAGAGACAGGTGGTTGAAAATCCTCGCTCATCTCTTCCCTGCCCTTCAACAGGCTCGAACTCTCCGCCAATGGCAGGTTCTATTGGGTCTCCTCACGTCGGCTCAAGACCTGACTGCCAGAGGTCGCCTCCAACTCCGTCCAATTCAACGGTTTCTCGCACCCTTTATCCGGCAGCAGGATCCGGAGTCCCTCATCGTCCTCCCGGTCCACCTCCACCCCTTCCTCCGATGGTGGACGGTGGAATCGAACGTCTGCGGCGGCGTCTCCTTGACCGCGCTACAGCCCTCCCTTCATCGACGCATCCAAACAGGGTTGGGGGGCTCATCTGGGGACTCAAACAGTTGCAGGGCTGTGGTCCGGAGATCGACTCCACTGGCACAGCAACAACCTCGAACTCGAAGCTCTCATACTGGCCGTCTCCCACTGGCAGAGCATTCTCCGTCACGCCCAGTTGACCATCTCCACGGACAACATCACCGTGGTGTGGTGTCTGAGGAATCAGGGTACTCTCCACTCTCAGTCCCTGCTCAACCAGACCTTCCGATTCTTCGACCTGGTGGACCGCTTAGACTTGCAATTCCTTGTTAAGCACATTCCAGGTTGCAAGAATGTTCTGGCAGACGCTCTGTCCAGGCCGGACAAGGTGGCTCCCACCGAATGGCGACTCCACCCAGAGATCTTCACAGTCCTTTGTCAAACGATCGCCACTCCAAACATCAATCTGTTCGCCACGTCTCAGAACTGCCAGCTGCCGACTTACATCTCGCCGGTCCCGGATCCGGCCGCTGTAGCAGTCGACGCCTTCAGTGTTCCCTGGGAGGGATTAAGCGCGTACGCTTTTCCGCCTCCGGTTCTCCTTCCCAGGGTTCTTCAAAAGATCCAGGCCACTTGACACTTGACACTGATTTTGGTCGCGCCTTGGTGGCCGGCCAGAAGTTGGTTTGTCGACCTCCGAAACGTCGCCAGAGACAACCCTCTAGAACTGCCAGCGTGGTCCAACCTTCTGCTCCACCCACACAGTCGGTTGCCCCACCCAAGTCCCGCTCGGTTTCATCTGCACGCCTGGCACATCTGCAAAAAGCCCTAGGAGCCAAGGGCTATTCGACTAGAGCAGCCAAGGCTATTGCTTTCGCCCATCGTCCATCTACACGGGGACTATATGATGATAAATGGTCCTCGTTCCAGGCGTTCTGCTCTGACAAGCATCAGGATCCGATGACGGCATCCCCGCAGTTCCTGGCTGAGTTTCTTCTGTACTTGCGCAGCACGCGTCGATTAAAAGGCTCTACCATCTCCACGTACCTGGTCGCCATTAACTCCGTCCTTGCCATCCCGGACGACCGGAGAATGACGAAAATTCCCGAACTCCAGGCTATGCTGCGCTCGTTTCGTCTCGACGACCAGAAAGCCAAGTTCAGACCGCCTGCGTGGGATCTGAATGTGGTCTTAAAGGCTCTTCGGGAGGCTCCACACTCCACACGTCTTCCTTTTACGACTTAACGAAGAAGACGGTGTTTCTACTGGCCTTGGCTACGGCCGCCCGGGTTAGTGAGCTCCACGCCCTCGACGTCTCTCGGGTCAGGTTCGAACGCGGGACTCATGGAGCAGTTCATCTTGGGCTGTGCTGGGACTTCATCGCAAAGAATCAACTCCCCGGACAGCCTGATAGATCCTTCACCATCCCTCCACTTTCGTCGATTGTGGGTGCCGACGACGTGGAGGAGCTTTTATTATGCCCAGTTAGGGCCCTGAAGGTTTTCCTGCGACGATCTAAAGCCTGCCGTAAGTCTAGGAAACGCCTTTTCCTACCGGTCTCCCCTTCGTCGCTGTCGGAGGTCAGCCGGAATACTATCTCCCTGTGGCTCCGGGCGGTCATCCTTCAAGATTATAAAGTCGCCGGATTGGACCCCCCCAAGGCTAACAACCCCCACGAGATTCGGGCGGTCGCTCTACCATGGCTCTGCACAGTAACTGTTCCCTCAAATCTATCATGGAAGGCTGTTTTTGGCGTTCCGACACCGTTTTCGCCAACCACTACCTCCGTGATGTAGCCTTGGAAGATGTCGCTGGCGTTCATAGCTTTGGTCCCCTGGTGGTAGCTCAACAGGTCACCAACCCCCGACGCCACTGATTCTCCGTTACCCTGAGCGGGGCCCGTCGAACTCTCTGGTGTTTATCACCACAGATTAGAGGGCTCTACTGCGTTCCGCATTCGCTCTTAGGTCAGTGCTAGTTTTGGCATTCCCGCCTCATACTATTTCTGTCACCTATTTCGGGTTCCCTCTTTTGCATCGACTCTCGTTTCCTTTGACAGGAATGGTCGCTGGTGTTCCGGTCATCTCTTGTCCATGCGGTGCGATTTCATCGGACCTTTGTCGAGGGTTTTCTTCTGGCTCACATCTGAAGGTATGCCCACCGGCCGTGCCGTCTGATAAAGATGCAATACGGAGTAATGCAGGATAAGTTAAAAAATTTAGTAAAATCTAAATATTTTTTACATTTGTATACTTATCCTGCATTACGAAGTCTAAGTGCCCCCCTGCGCTCCGCTTCCTCCCCACGAAGTTTCCGATGTTATGTTAAAGCAGTTATGAGTTTTGACATGACGTCATGTCTTCCGGGTCACGTGCCGACTGTGTGGGAGGGGGCGCTGCTTCCTGGACAGATGGAAACAACTTTCTTCAGCAGCTGGATCTCACACAGTTCGTCTCTCTGTCAAAGACAGCAGTAAATGCAATACGGAGTAATGCAGGATAAGTATACAAATGTAAAAAATATTTAGATTTTACTAATATTGTACTATCTTAAATAAGAATGAAATAACAAAAACGTCCTAAATATGCAACTTGACATAAAATTGCGAAACAATAAACATACTTCTAGCCTCTAAATATACACATTAAAATTCTGACATAGATATTCCTCACCACACTAATTGGGAACAAGGAGAATTCCTAGACACGCCAAAATCGAAGACAAAATTCAGGGAACTCGTAGACAAAAGACATATGGTAGGGAAATATACTCACTTATTGATTTATTACATACAGATATTGAATTATGATGTGGCAAATGTATTTCAAAATAGTAAGTTTTAAAAGACAATAAATATTATTGCTATCATCTTGTCCCTCTCTGCTTGGATATACATGTATGTACCTATTTACAAAGGATGCTGCTAATGCTTTCAAAACAAAAGTACGGTAATCCCCTACTCACCACTTACCGGATTATTAATTTATTTACAAAGCGGCCTTACCATATCTTTTATTTAACACTTTTAAAATTAAAAAAAACAACAACATGCAAACGAAACACTCAGAAACATAAACGAGACCGGTATGCCGATAAGTGATAATAATAATATTGCTAAGATTACTTATCATCATTCGATCAAATTCACTCCCGGTTTGTCTTCGAGGTGGCGGTGTCTACGAATTCACCGCATCAATGTATTATAAAATTTCTTGTTTGCCAGGCGACAGAGCGATAACAGCGCACATGTATCAGCCGAACGCACATAGAATAACAGTCAAACTGAGTTGTACGCGAGATACGAAGAGCTATACCACTCGATAAAAGCGGTACGCTTCCGCGGTCTCGAAAAGTGTGTAAAATAGCGACGACCTATTTTCACGCGGGGATTCCCCTCCACAACTCGCTATCTCATTCGGGCGTTTCCTGGGACGTCATCGTGCACCACCGGTGAAGTGATGTGGTTCTGTCAGTTAGTATTCATCAGTTGTATATTGTTTACATGTTGTGCATAAAGCGTACCGGGACAGTGATGTCGATTTTCTCCTTTATTCCCCCAAGAGCTAATTCCCCGTCAACATGCGCGTTGACACTTCATTCATCCCTGTCCGCCCAACTGCGAATGTTTCAGAAATAATCCTACAATCGTGCAGCATACCCGTGCTCGTGAATTTCACCAAAGTGGGTTATGTCGGAGACCTGAATCACTTCTGGCCTTGTTTCCACATTAAGCTGACACGTGATATAACTGGTAAATACTATTAAAGGCGGCGTTATATCTAACTCACTCACTCAGTCAGTTATTCAAATATGACTCAAATATCGTGAACAGCCTGCTTAACAATCAAAATGGATGCTGTTGAAGCCAAAACTTTAGCATACAGATGGACCTGGAGTATGTCTTTCGGAGTCAGATGTGGTCATAGGTAGAATACACAAACTTAAAAAGAGGAAAAAGTAATTTGAATAAACTCATTAGATCACAGCCAGGCGTCCCACGTGACAGATGTGTCGTTCTTTCCATCGACAAGGCCTCCGATAACATCACCGTTATGTGCCAGCATTAATTATGTGATCAAAGAACTTGTTATGCGACCTCTTTGACCTTTGGAAAATTAACAAACTTCACGAACGTGCAGTAGCCAGAAGCTACCCGTGGAGCTATGAGGACAACGCAAGGGAAGGATGCCCCTTCCTATGGCACTATAAATGGGCGGGCACCAGGTTTAAGCGTGGCAGGGAGAGCCTTGAAGTCGATCCCATGACCAGATCACGAATACCAGAAATCCTGCTGCTAGTTCAGTCTACAAAGCATTTGCCAGTAAGTTCCCATTCCATTCTCCCAAAGAAGAAGGTATCAGCTTGTTTGGCATCTGTTATATGGCTGTGTATTTTATTGTTTCACACTGATTGTAATTGTTTTACATTGTTTCTGTTGAGATTCGTTAGACGCTCAATGCATTGTGGACAGTGATCAGTCGTCAGAACGTTACTATTTTAGATGCTCGTGTGTTAATTTCCGGTCCAGTTCACCGCAGACGTTGATCGTATGTTATAGAAACATGTTGAATGTTCCAGTGCCGCTGGTTTTTGAGGGCACTGTGTAGAAATTTCCAGAAGCTTGTTAGGTTGTGTATATATTGGGACAATAGCGTGTTTAGATCTCTCTCACGCATTTTATCACATTGGAACCAGCTTTCATGTGCGGATCACTCATCATTCCTGATTCCCCACCTAGCTCATCTCGGAAGCTTAACCACTGTCGCCGCTGGTTGCATATGGATTATTATCACTGACTTTTGCTGTATTTCTGTATATGATACTGACCACTGCTGTCATATATATTACAATTGAATATTGTACTACCTTTCCATTGTTTACTGTGATCGTTATAGCTGTGCAGCAATTTGTGTTGATTTGTAAACCTAGTTAGTTTCGCAATACAATTGTTAATTTTATACCATTTGTCGTTTGTTTGTTGGTTTCACACTAAGTTCTTTACGTACATATTTCCACGTCCGAAGTGGTAAACGTCTGAGACCTACATCACTTCTGGCTTTCCTCCCACATCAAGCTTACACGCTACGATATAACTGGATTACTGTTAAAAGCGGCGTTAAACCCAACTCACTCACTCACTCACTCACTCACTATTTCTAGGTTAATATATTGTTACAATTTTGGAATCGACACGTAACACGTGTAATCAAACACGCACCAGACACAACATTTCCCATGATAATCTAGCTCTGTTTGAAGCTGATCCAGAAAGGTATTTTGCTACGATTTGTGACTTTGTATAAAACATGGGTCACCAGTCAAAACAGTTGAAGCAACTACCCAAGGCGCCGAAGTCTGTCCCATCAGCTGGAAGTGTTATGGCCTCCGTGTTATTTGACGCTGACGGTGTCATCATAGTGGACAATCTTCAAAAAGGCCAAACAAGACACGGAACATTGGGGCGAATACGAGATAAAGTTAAAACTAATAGGAAGCGGAGGAAAGGTGTGATCTTCCATCAAGACAATTCGCCAGTGATCAACACATTTCCCTCCATGGCTACTATAGTCAACTGTGGATGTGAAGATCTTCAATATCCCCCTTATTCTCCTGCGTCTGTTTTTTTTTTTTTAGACGATTTTAGTTAAGATTAATCTTAACAAGTAACTTTCAAAGATAAATATATCTTAATTTTACCATAAGCTACATTTTCGGAACTACCACACGTAGCATATTGATTAGATCTTTGACACTTATCGTTACTCTGTCAAAGAACTGTTGTTTTGTAGATTTAAACAGAGGACTGTTTCCCAAAGACATAACTGGGATTTTCCCGCATCTCAACTTCTGGTGTTTCAGTACAATATATGAAACAGAGTTAAATTCGCCCTAATGCTGTCAACACATGTTTATGTGCCTCAGAAATACCATTCAGTGTGTCATTATACGACACTGACCGAATTTAGGCTTTGTTTATAAACAGCCGTCAACTGCAAATGCACTGCAGTAAATGTTACATGATACTTAATGGCTACTGTACTACTATACTGTGGCTACTCTTCAGGACCAGTTTAAGTTAAATATTCAGCGAAACATTTTGTTCTGCAAATCAGAGCGGCAATTCCGATGCATATAAAACATATGTACAACTTTCTTATTATGACATGTTATGTTTCGTTCTAGGTGCTGTAAACAAGACTGTAAAAAGAAGACTATGGACGAAAAGCACGGGAACACAAAGGACAAGTCAAGGCCACGAATAACTGCAAATGTAGATCATGGTATGTACCAAAGGCTGTTAGCATCTCCTAGAAATCTTTGTCCAGTTTCTATATCTGTATCAGTAAGATACAAAAATCAGGAGGACATGAAATAGTGAATCAAATAAATACTAGTATTAGCGATATTCATAAGAAATATCTGCTTTTGTGGATATGCCATCGTGGCATCGATATGACATCGTGTAATGTCCAAAATAAAAGTGTTCACTATGACGTAATTCCTTCTATGTGAGGCTCAGAACTTATCAAACAGCCCTCGTATTACATATTAACGAACAGCATGATTTACACAGCCGGGTCATGTGCATCTTTTCAAGGCAAGAAAGTTAACTGACTATAAAAGTCCATTTTCAACCCTTGCCGAATAGGCTGGTATTATGGAGTAACATTTTGGCTGGACTAACGAGTCTAGGCATAGTCCAATCAAAATCGCGCAACGAAATCAAAACCCGGTTCGTAAACTGTCGTGCAGATTTCGGTCGATTGCAGGATTTGCTAGGCATTTGCAAAATATTTTAAGGTTAATCGCTCTTGTTTTATTGAACACACTTTATAGTGACACCAGACCGCCTCCTTGGTCTTGGGGCAGAGCTTCCGCCCCGGCCAGAGGAAGGTCCAGAGTTCGATCCCCAGCCGCGCCATACCAAAAGACATTCAAAGATGGTACCTGTTGTTACCCTGTCTGGTGCTAAATAAAACAAGAACTGGTCGGTCGGCTCGGAGTCAGTATACTGTGTCTGAGTGGGATATTTATGTTAAACGCAGTATGGTATCTCAGTGGCCATGGGCTAGCGCTATAAATCGGCATCAGTCCGGACTAGTACACGCTGCCACACACACACACGTGAATGCACGTCGCTATATAAGTGCAATAATCTAGAACGCGACGTTAAACCCCATTTCACCTCACCTAATGGTTTATTCATGACATTTGCCTAATGCTTACATGTGTCAGGAGATGTTTTGGAGGGATCAATTCTATCTCCGCCCGTTGCCTTCGGTGGGTATAGCTAGGATTAAATGTAAAAATGATCCAACTGTAAGGCACAGAACACAGGATATGAACTTCTACTCGTATTCCGGCCATCAGCGAAACTGTGGGGAACAACAGTCTTAATATTTTTTGGAGAACGAATATTCACTGTTTCAAGACATTGTGCGCAAGTTTCCCTTTTTAATGGACATCAAATGAACAATGAGTTTATTAGTATTTTGCAAAAGCGTTCCATTCCAAGCATGTATACCGAGAAAAATATAGGCTGCTTACAGAATGGTTCAGCTCCACAAACGAGTGTTTTACTTTGCTCAGCGCTGTCTACACTTCTCTGGTCAACATCAACATTGGCCGAACTGATGGCCTTTTGTTGACAAGGATGATTCACGTATGCTGGCGGCGTTGTATTACATGAAATATGTCGTCAAGCCGTTTTCCTTTTGTTATACAAGTTGAAACAGTAAATGTACTAACGTTATAAAAGTATCGATGCTCACGATGTCAAACACTGGATTGTCTGGTCCAAACTCGATTATTTACAGATCATTTGCAAGTGATGGAATCGGATTGGTCCATAGGTGAGGCTTAGAAGGGACATAACGCACAATAACCACTGGTGGCGCTACGATCGAGCCCAGGAATACCGGCCTAGTGTGGCAAGGATGGAAACTGGACTTTTTATAGTCAGTTAACTCTCTTGCCTCGGGAAGATGGATCATGTGCAACCCATATATTCCTTCATATATTTTTCTTGTTTTGTTAACGATCAGCATCTTGATGTGATTTCAAACTAAATATGTTAAGGCTTAATCACTCTTGTTTTATTGAACACACGTTTTGTTGACCGCCTCCGTGATGTAGTGGTAGCGCGTCCGCTCAGAAAGCGGAAGGTCCGGGGTTTGATCCCCGGCCACGTCATACAAAAAGCCGTTAAAAGATGGTACTTGTTGCCCTGTCTGGTGCTCTGAATTAAGGGGCTGGTCGGCTCGGAGTCAGTGTACTGTGTCTGAGAGGGGTATTCATGTTAAACTGTGGTATGGTATCTCAGTGAGCTAGCACTTAAAATCGGCATCAGTCCGGACTAGTACAAGAACACACACACACACACACACACACACACACACACATACACACACACAAACACACACACACACACACATGCACGTCGCTATATAAGTGCAAAAATCTTGAATGCGACTTAAATCCCATATTGACACTGAAATGGCCATGTGTTTATTCATGACATTTGCCTAATGCAATTCATCTTACTCTTGCAGGAAGGATACCATCTCCGTTCATTGCCACAGGTGGGTATAGATAGGATTAAATGTAAATATGTCCAATTGTAAGGCACAGAACACAGAATAGGAACTTCTACTCGTGTTCCGGCCATCAGCGAAACTGTGAGGAACGACAGTCTTAATATTTTTTGGAGAACAAATATTCACTGTTTCAAGACATTGTGCGCAAGTTTCCCTTTTTAATGGACATCAAATGAACAATGAGTTTATTAGTATTTTGCAAAAGCGTTCCATTCCAAGCATGTATACCGAGAAAAATATAGGCTGCTTACAGAATGGTTCAGCTCCACAAACGAGTGTTTTACTTTGCTCAGCGCTGTCTACACTTCTCTGGTCAACATCAACATTGGCCGAACTGATGGCCTTTTGTTGACAAGGATGATTCACGTATGCTGACGGCGTTGTATTACATGAAATATGTCGTCAAACCGTTTTCCTTTTGTTATACAAGTTGAAACAGTAAATGTACTAACGTTATAAAAGTATCGATGCTCACGATGTCAAACACTGGATTGTCTGGTCCAGACTCGATTATTTACAGATCATTTGCAAGTGATTGAATCGGATTGGTCCATAGGAGAGGCTTAGAAGGGACATAACGCACAATAACCACTGGTGGCGCTACGATCGAGCCCAGGAATACCGGCCTAGTGTGGCAAGGATGGAAACTGGACTTTTTATAGTCAGTTAACTCTCTTGCCTCGGGAAGATGGATCATGTGCAACCCATATATTCCTTCATATATTTTTCTTGTTTTGTTAACGATCAGCATCTTGATGTGATTTCAAACTAAATATGTTAAGGCTTAATCACTCTTGTTTTATTGAACACACGTTTTGTTGACCGCCTCCGTGATGTAGTGGTAGCGCGTCCGCTCAGAAAGCGGAAGGTCCGGGGTTTGATCCCCGGCCACGTCATACCAAAAGACGTTAAAAAATGGTACTTCTTATTGCCCTGTCTGGTGCTCGGCATTAAGGGTCTGGTCGGCACCGAGTCAGTGTACTGTGTCTGAGTGGGGTATTCATGTTAAACTGTGGCATGGTATCTCAGTGAGCTAGCACTTAAAATCGGCATCAGTCCGGACTAGTACAAGAACACACACACACACACACACACACACACACACACACACACACACACACACACACACACACACACACACACATACACATGCACGTCGCTATATAAGTGCAAAAATCTTGAATGCTACGTTAAATCCCATATTGACACTGAAATGGCCATGTGTTTATTCATGACATTTGCCTAATGCAATTCATCTTACTCTTGCAGGATCGAAAGGATCTCAGCCCCTTGCCTTAGGTGGGTATAGATAGGATTAAATGTACATATCTCCAATTGTAAGGCACAGAACACAGGATATGAACTTCTACTCGTGTTCCGGCCATCAGCGTAACTGTGAAGAACGACCGTCTTCATATTTTTTGGAGAACGAATATTTCACTGTTTCAAGACATTGTGAGCAAGTTTCCCTTTTTAATGGACATCAAATGAACAATGAGTTTATTAGTATTTTGCAAACGCGTTCCATTCCAAGCATGTATACCGAGAAAAATATAGGCTGCTTACAGAATGGTTCTGTTCCACAAAAGAGTGTTTTACTTTGCTCAGCGCTGTCTACATTTCTCTGGTCCACATCAACATTGGCCGAACTGATGGCCTTTTGTTGACAAGGATGATTCACGTATGCTGACGGCGTTGTATTACATGAAATATGTCGTCAAACCGTTTTCCTTTTGTTATACAAGTTGAAACAGTAAATGTACTAACGTTATACAAGTATCGATGCTCACGATGTCAATCTCTAGATTGTCTGGTCCAGACTCGATTATTTACAGACCGTCATCATATAATTGGAATATTGCTGAGTGTGCCGTTACACAACAAACAAACAAACAAACAAACAACACGTAATACAAGTGTCTGTGAATCGAGAACAACCCAAATTTCGCCAAGAATACTCAAGCAAGCGTCGGTCCCGTCTCCACTTTGCCAGAAAACCACGGCCTTTCAATACTGATTCTACAGTAAGGTCACTATTGCACAAAAGTTGTATACGTGTTGTTGCGTTGTCCAGTGTTAGTATGTGAGCTACATGGATGTCGCGTTGAAACCCTAGACGAACTGTACAGAGGACAAGGTGTTGGATCAGATTTTAGAATTCTAAATGATCCTTGTCACCTTTAAAACCAATGTTGTACCCCCATCACACCAAAGTAGTTCTCAATACGTTCGTGAAAATGTTGTCGAACGGGCCCCACCTGTGTATGAACATAGTGGACGTAGTAGAAACTATTGATAGTATTTTTACGAACTTTATGGACAGGCTCGGACGGGGAGGGTGCTAAAGATTTTATCCCGTCCATCCCGTCCTGCAATTAGTCGGGTTGACAACGTACTTAAAACGAGAAAGACGTATTACCAACGGAATTGCCGTACTTCGAACCTAGTAGGGACGTGTGACGACGTGGTGCAGTGGGACATGAATTTCAGTACGTCTGCACACCGACCGGGGCCGTTTGTTACTCGTTCATCCCATTCGGTGACAGACCCAATTTGACCGAATTACGTTCTTAGTCAATCCTTATTCCGTGCAAATATTTTTCAAACCAAATATAAAATTCTGACGGCAAGGGTTGAAACTGGACTTTTATAGTCAGTTAACTGTCTTGCCTCGGGAAGATGGGCCATATGCAACCCACACATTCCTCCATATATTTTTCTTGTTTTGTTTACGATCAGTATCTTGATGTGATTTCAAACTAAATATGTTAAGGCTTAATCGCTCTTGTTCTATTGAACACACGTTTTATTGACCGCCTCCACGATCTAGTGGTAGCTCGTCCGCTCAGAAAGGGGAAGGTCCAGGGTTGGATCCCGGCCGCGTCATACCAAAAGACGTTAAAAGATGATACTTGTTGTTGCCCTGTCTGGTGCTCGGCATTGAGGGGCTGCTCGGCTCGGAGTCAGTATACTGTGTCTGAGTGGGGTAATCATGTTAAACTGCGGCATGGTATCTCAGTGGGTTAGCACTATAAATCAGCATCAGTCCGGAGTAGTACAAGCAGACACACACACACACACACACACACACACACACACACACACATGCACGTCGCTATATAAGTGCACAAATCTGGAATGCGACTTTAAATCCAATTTCACCTCACCTTATATTGACACCGAAATGACCACATGTTTATTCATGACATTTGAATAATGGAAATCATCTTACTCTTGCAGGACATGTTCAGCAGGGATTTATACCACCTCCGCCCCCTGCTTTAGGTGGGTATAGATAGGATTAAATGTAAATATGTCCAACTGTAAGGCACAAAACACAGAATAGGAACTTCTACTCGTGTTCCGGCCATCAGCAAAACTGTGGGGAACGACCGTCTTAATTTTTTTGGAAAAAGAATATTCACTGTTTCTAGACATTGTGCGCATGTTTCCCTTTTCATTGGACATCAAATGAACAATGAGTGTATTAGTATTTTGCAAACGCGTTCCATTCCAAGCATGTATACCGAAAAATATAGGCTGCTTACAGAATGGTTCTGTTCCACAAAAGAGTGTTTTACTTTGCTCAGCGCTGTCTACACTTCTCTGGTCAACATCAATATTGGCCGAACTGATGGCCTTTTGTTGACAAGGATGATTCACGTATGCTGACGGCGTTGTATTACATAAAATATGTCGTCAAACCGTTTTCCTTTTGTTATACAAGTTGAAACAGTAAATGTACTAACGTTATACAAGTATCGATGCTCACGATGTTAATCTCTGGATTGTCTGGTCCAGACTCGATTATTTACAGACCGTCGTCATATAGCTGGAATATTGCTTAGTGTGGCGTTACACAACAAACAAACAAACAACATGTAATTCAAGTTTCTATGAATCGAGAACAACCAAAATTTCACCAAGAATACTCAAGCAAGCGACGGTCCCGTCTCCACTTTGCCAGAAAACCACGGCCTTTCAGTACTGATTCTACAGTAAGGTCACTATTGCACAAAAGTTGTATACGTGTTGTTGCGTTGTCCAGTGTTAGTATGTGAGCGACATGGATGTCGCGTTGAAACCCTAGACGAACTGTACAGAGGACAAGTTGTTGGCTCAGATTTTAGAATTCTTAATGATCCTTGTCACCTTTAAAACCAATGTTATACCCCCATCACACCAAAGTAGTTCTCAATACGTTCGTGAAAATGTTGTCGAACGGGCCCCACCTGTGTATGAACAAAGTGGACGTAGTAGAAACTATTGATAGTCTTTTTACGAACTTTATGGACAGGCTCGGACGGGGAGGGTGCTAAAGATTTTATCCCGTCCATCCCGTCCTGCAATTAGTCGGATTGACAACGTACTTAAAACGAGAAAGACGTATTACCAACGGAATTGCCGTACTTCGAACCTACTAGGGACGTGTGACGACGTGGTGCAGTAGGACATAAATTTCAGTACGTCTGCACACCGACTGGGGCCGTTTGTTACTCGTTCATCCCATTCGGTGACAGACCCAATTTGACCGAATTGCGTTCTTAGTCAATCCTTATTCCGTGCAAATATTTTTCAAACCAAATATAAAATTCTGACGGCAAGGGTTGAAACTGGACTTTTATAGTCAGTTAACTGTCTTGCCTCGGGAAGATGGGCCATATGCAACCCACACATTCCTCCATATATTTTTCTTGTTTTGTTTACGATCAGTATCTTGATGTGATTTCAAACTAAATATGATAAGGCTTAATCGCTCTTGTTCTATTGAACACACGTTTTATTGACCGCCTCCACGATCTAGTGGTAGCTCGTCCGCTCAGAAAGGGGAAGGTCCGGGGTTGGATCCCCGGCCGCGTCATACCAAAAGACGTTAAAAGATGATACTTGTTGTTGCCCTGTCTGGTGCTCGGCATTGAGGGGCTGGTCGGCTCAGAGTCAGTATACTGTGTCTGAGTGGGGTAATCATGTTAAACTGCGGCATGGTATCTCAGTGGGTTAGCACTATAAATCAGCATCAGTCCGGAGTAGTACGAGCAGACAAGCAGACACACACACACACACACACACACACACACACACACACGCACGCGCACGCACGCGCACACACACACACACACACACACACACACACACACACACACATGCACGTCGCTATATAAGTGCACAAATCTGGAATGCGACTTTAAATCCAATTTCACCTCACCTTATATTGACACCGAAATGACCACATGTTTATTCATGACATTTGAATAATGGAAATCATCTTACTCTTGCAGGACATGTTCAGCAGGGATTTATACCACCTCCGCCCCCTGCTTTAGGTGGGTATAGATAGGATTAAATGTAAATATGTCCAACTGTAAGGCACAAAACACAGAATAGGAACTTTTACTCGTGTTCCGGCCATCAGCGAAACTGTGGGGAACGACCGTCTTAATATTTTTGGAAAAAGAATATTCACTGTTTCTAGACATTGTGCGCATGTTTCCCTTTTATTGGACATCAAATGAACAATGAGTGTATTAGTATTTTGCAAACGCGTTCCATTCCAAGCATGTTTTCCTAGAAAAATATAGGCTGCTTACAGAATGGTTCAGCTCCACAAAAGAGTGTTTTACTTTGCTCAGCGCTGTCTACACTTCTCTGGTCAACATCAACATTGGCCGAACTGATGGCCTTTTGTTGACAAGGATGATTCACGTATGCTGACGGCGTTGTATTACATGAAATATGTCGTCAAACCGTTTTCCTTTTGTTATACAAGTTGAAACAGTAAATGTACTAACGTTATAAAAGTATCGATGCTCACGATGTCAAACACTGGATTGTCTGGTCCAGACTCGATTATTTACAGACCGTCGTCATATAGCTGGAATATTGCTGAGTGTGGCGTTACACAACAAACAAACAACACGTAATACAAGTGTCTGTGAATCGAGAACAACCCAAATTTCACCAAGAATACTCAAGCAAGCGTCGGCCCCGTCTCCACTTTGCCAGAAAACCACGGCCTTTCAATACTGGTTCTACAGTAAGGTCACTATTGCATAAAACTTGTATACGTGTTGTTGCGTTGTCCAGTGTAAGTATGTGAGCTACATGGATGTCGCGTTGAAACCCTAGACGAACTGTACAGAGGACAAGTTGTTGGCTCAGATTTTAGAATTCTAAATGATCCTTGTCACCTTTAAAACCAATGTTATACCCCCATAACACCAAACTAGTTTTCAAAACGTTCGTGAAAATGTCTTCGAACGGGCTCCAACTGTGTATGAACGTAGTGGACGTAGTAGAAACTATTGATAGTCTTTTTACGAACTTTATGGACGGGCTCGGACGGGGAGGGTGCTCTAGAACTTTGAGTCTGCCCAAGATTTTATCCCGTCCATTCCGTCTTGCAATTAGTCGGATTGAAAACGTACTTAAAACGAGAAAGACGTATTACCAACAGAATTGGCGTACTTCGAACCTACTAGGGACTTGTTGCGACGTGGTGCAGTAGGACATAAATTTCAGTACGTGTGCACACCGACCGGGTCCGTTTGTTACTCGTTCATCCCGTTCGGTGACAGACGCAATTCACTACATTACGTTATTAGTCAATCCTTATTGCGTGCAAATACTTTTCTAACCAAATATAAAATTCTGAAGCTGCTTGCAACACGTTTCTACATGGTTCTAAACTTTCTTAGTAGGTTCTCATAAAATTCTCCTAGTTTTGAGTATGTTTATGCAGTTTTCACGCAGTTCTTTCTACAACCACCCCGTCTGAAGTACGATAGGACAAGCTAGGTTACACATACAGCTAGGGTTTCAGGTTCATCAGATGAGCTTGCGATTTCGGGCAGTGCGCATCGTTTCCTGACCGTGAAGATTTTCAAGATTTGTGCCCAGAAACATGGATAACTTTGCATACATTAAACATTGAATGTTGGTTTTATCCAATTTATCCTGAAAGCAGAGGAAGAGTACAAGGAGATGGTAGAGGAAGAAAGAAGGAGACAAGTAAGAAACTGTTGGGTGAGGAAGTGGCTGAAACCTGAGAGGAGAAAAGGTGTGGGACATTATCATCAGCTGATGGAGGAGCTCCCTCTGGATGATCAAGGGTCCTTCTACAACTTCTTGAGAATTACCCCACCCATGTTTGACGAACTTCTTGAACGAATCACCCCCTTCATTAAAATAAACAAGACACCAACTACAGAAAGGCTCTGGAACCCGGTATGAAGCTTGCCATCACACTGCGTCATCTGGCAATAGGAGATTCCTATGCCACCTTGCAATATGAATTGAAGGAAGCCCAAAAACGCAATATGCTTGTTGGTGAAACATGTCTGTGAAGCCTTGGTGATGGTGTTTAAGAATGAAGTCATCACATGCCCTGTTGACAGAGGAACTTGGGAAGAAGTTGCTGAGGATTTCCGCATGCGCTGGAATCTCCCACATGCCTGTGGTGCCCTCGATGGGAAACATGTTGCCATCAGAAAGCCTCCCAGACTGGAACCATGTACCACAACTACAAAGGCTTCTTTTCAGTCGTAATAATGGCCCTGATAGATGCTGATAACAAATTTATGTGGATAGATGTTGGTCTTTTGGAAGCCAGTCTGTTTAGCAAATGACTCCATTCATCTTCCCGAGGCAAGAGAGTTAACTGATTATAAAAGTCCAGTTTCCACCCTTGCCGAACTAGACTGATATTATGGAGTTACATTTTGGCTGGACGAAAAAGTCTAAGCATAGTCCAATCAAAATCGCGCACCGAAATCGAAATCTGGTTCGTAAGTTTTGTAATCAACGTGCTCATATGATTTGAAGCACTTCGCGATGTAAGGCCCGTTTTATCGCAATATAGATTTTGATTGTCGATCAGATCGTTTTGTCTGGGCGCCGTCATTTTGTTTGAAGCAAATGCAAGTGATACGAGAGGTGGAATCTTATTGGTCGATGGGAGAGTTATAGAGAGACATAACTCATAACAGCCACTGGTGGCGCTACGAGCCCAGGAATTCCAGCCTTGTTCGGCAAGGGTGGAAACTGGACTTTTAAAGTCAGTTAACTCTTGCCTCGGGAAGATGGACTACGTTGGACTCCCTCTGAACCTTCACCTTGGCCATATTCAGGCCGTCACCTGACTACAGAACAAATGATTGCATTTCTGGAGCCAGACGTGTGGTTGAAAATGCACTCTGACCCAGAGATGGAGAGTCCTCTTGTAAACAATGCAGCTGTTGCCAGGGACTGTACAGACCATTTTTTAAGCTTATGTGTGCCGTACCCGAACCCAAGCCATTCAAAACATCCAAGGGGATGCTGAAGATGCTGCACACATCCTCATCCCTGGTGCCTGGAGACAAGGTGCCAACCTGCCAGACTGCCACTTCCCACAGGGAGGAAACAGGAACACTGTTTTAGCCAAGAGACAAAGGGACTATTTAAGAGCAAATTTCAACAGCCCAGCAGGATGGGTGCCATGGCAGGACAGGATGATTGAACTATGAGAGCCATGATTGTCACACTGTTTGATGTTGAATTTTAGCTTATGGCTTTTTAACATTCTAATGTCTATTGGTAAAAAAATGTTCTGTTACCATCATTTCAAAATGTACATGAGATGTCAAGCTGTGGTGTAATGAAAGTTTTCTATATGAAACGTTGTTGTCTTAGTTGATTTAATCGCGTTTTCTACAATATACATGGCATTGTATCTAGACACATGCACAAAAGTTAAGCGCTACCCACCATATTTGTGAGCTGTAACTTTTGGCACTTAATGATGACTATTATAACGAGATGTACCATTGTCATAAGCCGTATATGTAAACCTCATGTGATGCAAAAGTTGTCCCAAAGCAAGTTTATCTTGTGTTCCAAAAGAATATGAGCAGAAAGGAATTTTACCGAAGACCAGAAATTGAAGGATTAGAAAACATTGAAAAGCTTTTTTTGTCATGTAACTGTCATGATATCAGCGGAACATTTCAGGTGTCACATAGACACCCTAGGGAGTGCAGAGTCTATTGCCAGGAAGTCAGGAACGTCAGTAACGTGTGTATGATCCACGGACATTGACCACAGCTTCAACCCTACGCCTTATACTCATTACAAGTCGTTGAATGCTTCTCTGAGGCAAACGGATCCATTCTTCATGAAGTGCGGCTTCAAGTCCAGCGAGATTTTGAACTCGGGGATCACGATGTCTGATTTTCCGGCCAAGAATGTCCGAGAGATGCTCAATTGGATTAATATCCGGACTACAGGCCGGCCAAGGAAGAGTGGCAATAGCTTCTTGACGCAAATAAGCCAAAACTGCCCAAGATCTGTGTGGTCTAGCATTGTCGTCCATGTAAACAGGTGTTGTCTGAAAGGGATGGTTGTCAAAATGAGGGACTACCACTGCACGAAGAACGGCATCTTGGTATTGTTGACCATTCAGGTTTCCACGAATTGTCACCAGTTGAAGTTTGCAGCCGAAGGAAACACAACCCATATCATGACAGACCCCCCGCCACTTGCTAAGGTCTTCTGGATGTTCCTTGGTGTAAAAACGAGTGTTACGTTGCCTCCAAACACGTATGACCATATGTAGCAGCATTTGACACTCGTCAGACCTATGGATCCTTCTCCAATTGGCCAAGTTCCATCGACTACGGGCACGACACCATATCAGACGATTCCGCATGTGCCTCTCAGTCAGTTGAGGACGTTTTACTGGTCTTCTGGGTTTATAACCAGCCGCTCTGAGGCGACGCCTTACGGTCATCGTCGAGAGTCTCTGATTGGTAATCCACTGCAGTCTTAAATCTGTTGAAGTGGCAAATGGATTTCGTCTGACTATCCTGAAAAGACGTCTATCCCCTCTGTTAGAGGTATTTCTTGGCCTACCTGACCTATGCCTGTCATTGACATCGTTGGTTTGACCATGTTTGACAATCAAACGAGTGATAACACTGTGATGACGACCCATTCGTCTTGCAATGGCCCTGCATGACATGCCAGCATTTTTCATGCCTATCACTTGCCATCTTTCAGCGTTCGTTAACTTTCTCCTCACCGTGCTGATTTTCAACCTCTATTGGAAGGGGTATCTCACACAGGAGCAAAATACAACCACGTGTCTGAAACTTCAATTTCACTATTTATAGGGTAGGGGAACTGCAGCAACACGTAAAGCACGCTTCCTTGTGGTATCTGGACAAATTTGGGTTCAAGAAACTATGGAAGCCTAATTCACCCTAATCATCATCATATTTCGTATTTCTGATTCCCACACGTGAAATCAAGAGACTATGAATATGGTGGCGCTTAACTTTTGTGCATGTGTATTTCTATGCACTGTCTTTCTGAATCGACTTCTCTTTGAAGGCATGATGTGTACAGCTCGGAGCCCTGAACTTGAACGAAGACTGGCTCTAACGCGCTCGGTATCCATAGGAGTCGGGCCAGGACGGGCCACCACGCGAATACACACGCACTAGGCACGTTTGAGATGAGGACGTGGTGCGAACGAGTTGGTCAGGTTAAGAATTAGTTTGAACTGGCTTGGACGCATTGTGAACGAGGTAGAACAAGGTTGAACTGGTTAAGAACGAGTTGAGAACGGCTACGGATGTGCTCGAACTGCTTCGAAACGTTGTCGCATGCGGTGCACTTTTACACGATCTGAACTGGATACATACGGACTGCAGACTGGCCATGAACGAGATAGACGTATTGAGGACTGCTTTTGAACGAACGCGCATCGTATTTTACGCCAAACTACGCGTTCTACAGTGATCACAGCCCGTTCTAGTATTTTGTTTAGAACGGGGTAGAACAACTTTGGTGTGATGGTAGCATAACCATCAAGTGTTTGGTCTTGTTAGGATTTTAGCTCGCTGTCACTCGTCTGCATATTGTTTCATGTATTATTTCATAATCACTCAATGTACGCCTTTTCCGTAGTCACAGTCGCTTGTCAGTGTTCATTTTATTCTGAATTGCTTACTGCCGCTAAATTGTGGTTTGTGTTAACAGATGTGTCTTGCAATAATATACAAATAGTTCTCTCGCGGGCAATACATTGTTTTATGTATCTTAACCTCGCAGCCATAAACCGTTTAAAACGTGTTTAAACGAACTTTGAGTTCAACTTATCGTTACTTGGTAAGAAATATATCACTTGTATGAACAGCATGTAAGTATGTTCTGCGTCCATTGTAGGTATCCCGAGACCGAGACCGGAAGCGCCGGACGCTCCAAGACCGAGACCGGAAGAGCCGGACGCTCCAAGACCGAAATCTCCGAAAAATGTGAAAGCATGAGATGAGATACACCTTACTTTCTGCTTCACGCCTCGGATCGCCACCTCATCGGAACTGAAGGGCTTTGTGGCAACTGTATAACTGTTAGATTTACAAATGTAATACCCCCTGTGGATTTAGATCAAGGCAGTTGTATGTTAGTACTGATTAGTTTACTGCCAGCTTTGCTAACTTGTGACTATTCGCCCGTTGGACGTGTCTCACGCTGTGTGAGTTCAATTTGTATCTGCTTACTCAAAGCCTTCATGCTTTATGAATTCTTAAACAGACAGACATATATTTTATTTAGTAATTTTGGCACCAAGGCCCAAAGTACAATGCAGTTTGCATATCAACATTTGTCATGATGTACATTAATAGATTTTAAAGTTACACTTTTTTTATTATAAAGGCTTGTTTTCAAACTACATCAACAGCATGGATGATATCATGACTTCCTCATATTTACCGTTAACTGACGGTCTTTAAAAATACCCTGCTACAAGGGGGGAAATGTACGAGTATATTTTTCACATATAAGTAAAACATGGTTTTCATCCTCTTCGCCTCCTTGTAAACAATTTGTACAAAAAGAATACAATATCACCGTCTGTGAACCTGCGTCATATACTCAACTCCAAAAGAAACGAGATGTTCGATGGGTGATATCATTAAACAGAAATTATGTAAAATTATAAAATAACTACACTTTTAAAAAGACGACGTTACCTTTTATTTTACATGGTAACATTTCCCAACACGCGACTTGTGATAATTGCACGCACGTCTCTGGACAACAGATAAAACGTGTAACACTCCTTATTACCAGAAGGTTTGAGAAGATTGAAATTGATTCATCGGACACCTTGTTATCTGGTCTCAAACATTAGCTGTTGGTTTTGTAGTTTGATTTTAAGTTTGACATAAAAACACCCTGTCCCATCTAACTCTGGACAACTGGAAGTTGTTTGATCAAGGTTACAACATTCCAGGCCTCAGTAAAGCTTTCAACAAGTTTTATGGTAGACATGTTGAGGACATTTCCAAATTTAACGCATCAGTGACAAAATGATGTCAGATGCAGTTACCTCTTTGACATGTACCATATGTTTTTTTAAGGTGAACAATTGACTTGCCTTTGGATGTGTGTGTTACGGGTGGCACCGGTGGGGAAGGATACACTCACGCTTTCGCAAACACCGGGTATCATCACTTTTGAAAGTGATTCATATAGTCGAAAGGGTTTTGTCGCTTTATTTACTGAAGCTGGATGGAACATGCCACGAGTTGGCAGACACATTGATGTCCATCATTCAACAACTTACATGACCAACAGTGCAGATTATCGTCCACTAAGTGACCGACAGCGTGTGACGCTCGATAGAGAAGATCAGTTGATGGTGACGTCACATCTACGCGATAGAATCCCACGTGCAACCACAGCTCCTCAAATGACTTCTGAGACTCAACAGACCAATCAGCCAAACCCGTTTCTGAATGTGATTCATTTAGACTATGTTTTCAAATGTTGCCAATTTTGACTTGTTTCTGTTAAAAAAATCATTTTTATAGCATGTAACTTTCACCGCTTCAAATTCGCGTTTCTGTTGAAGTTGAGTGTACATTTACATTAACATTGTGTAAGGAAATTCCCAATTTACAATAAGCTCTGATTTAACTTTTATCTTTAAACTAATTAAAATATATTTCAGTTCATAAGAATCGTTTTACTTGGCAGTCATTGCTGAGATGAAGTGATAGAGAAATCAAGGGCAGGTATTTCTAGTTCGCGAGAACCACAAGGCTAGGCCCAGGGGTTGGTGTAGCTTCACCGAAATGCGTGCCCTGGAGATACAGAGGATGGCAACTGTCCGGATTTAGAGCTCAATTTGTGGGTTCTTTCCATGCTCTCTGATTCATTGCGTCAGAATTAAAATGAAGTGTACATAAAATCTCTTACACACCTTTCACTGTCAGCCCTCGTTTCGCCGCGCCTACCGTGAAGACCATGGAAATTAAGATTAAACCGCCGAATCTGGGCCTCCATGTTATTTTAGATTGAAGAGTTTCACTTCCTCCTCTAATTCTGTTAACCTGCGATTGTAGTCAAACGTAAACGTCTCGAGCTTGTCATTGAGCGATGTGATCTGAGCCTGAATCGATTTTAGCGTTATAGAGATCAGAGAGGGTGATGGGTGGACTGTCCGAGTTATCTGTCACAACACACTGGCCAGATACATTTTGAGGGATGTTCAGGTCTGAATACTATCTCCCGATATTGTAGCTGATGTAGGTGGTCCAGGATTAGGACTCTATATTGCCCGCGTTTAGCATCAAAGTTAATGACTGTAAAACTAAGCAGGGACTTGGACCGCGAACCGCCAGGGAGATGTACACCGCCACACACTGAACGGGGTCGCCTGCTACGAACGGAGAAACACCCAAGTTTTTTTCCCTCCACGGATATATATCAATATACATACGAAAGTCTGGATTCTTAGCAGCAGGTTATCGGTGAAATTTCTGTCACAATCCTCTACTATTAGCCTCACACAGCAAATTCAGCAGAGAGCAAAAAAACAGCCGCCATAAGGTAATCAGGTGACTCACTTAAATCCTAAAACTTCAGTTGGTGTATCTTTGTCAATGCGCCTTAATGCAATCGGAGTGTCTATAATTTATATAATCATTTTTCGACTTCTCACGTGTGTTTACCCCAGCATGTTCGCTATTCATGCCTTTTGGGCAACTACGAATCGCTTTCTCGCGTTACTGTACAAGGCCGAAGTGTGTGTGTGTATGTGTGGAGGGGGGGGGGGGGGGGTTGCAAATATTCGTACAAGTGTCACTTGTCCCCAACTTGTATTTTCATGATTCAAATAAAACTGCTTTTCAAAAACAAAAAAAAACCAGGCCCCTCGGCTGGCTATGGCACTGCTGTAGCGTTGGCAACGTTATCGTAATGACAGCCATTATGGAATTCGATATGAACATGCACATACAGATAGAAAGTTGCCCGCTCGGAGACCCTGCTGTGACCTTGAACCTGTGATTAATCCGATAAATTGTGTGTTTATGATCCCTGTAATAGTATCATTGAAAAGGTATCACGTCCGATTTGAAACATGGCCGCTTTGGCATCCATCTTGATGTCAACCATTTTGTATTGGAATATATACAGTAACTAAAGTGTTTGTTAAGAAATGCAGCTTTTTCTTCATCTCACACGTCGGTGGAATAGCTTTAATTGATAACTACATACAGTTTGTGATAGATCCTTGATATTGTGTCTCTAGGAATTGCTTCCATAACTCCTATCCAGTTTTTCATTGTCAGTGTGTTACGTACTTAGGTTCTAGTACTTTTAAACTTTGTGTGTTGCCTAAGACTGAAAGAAATACAAAATACGAATGTACATGTAGCGTTTCCTGAAACGAACTGAATAAATACTGTTATTCAGTTTTAAATGGTTGATACAAAAACTCAAGTTTGACAAATATAGTACACGAACCACTGCAATTAAGGTAATCACAGTGATAATCTAAAAAAACGTGTGTTTTTTATTTTTTTATCGCGTTATACAAGGCTTTCAGTTCAGGAATAATCCACGTCATCTGGAATGAAGGGGTTATGTTCACCTTGGTCTTGCTGTGCCACCTGAGACTGATGTGACTAATCGTGACGTCAGCATTAAGGGTTGTAATTCTAAATACTCAAACAACAAAACCCTTTCCATAATCATAAGACATATCTGTTAAAAGCATTTGCTTCCGTCACAAACACATGCAAAGGCAGGTTTATTGTTCACCTGAAAAAGCACGGGAACGTATGGTACAAATCAAAACATGAAGCTGCATTGGACATCTTTTTTTGTCACTGATGTGTGGAATTTCGAAATGTTCACATGTCTAGCATGAAACCTTTTGAAAGCTATACTCTTGAGCAAGAGTTGTATGACGCTCTTTGAAATATTCGTGCAAAAGGCATGCTAGATTTTACCTCAAACTTTGTGACTTGTAGATACCAAAGGCTGGAGCTGGGGCTGCTCGACTTCAAGGGACAGTTGACTTGTTTGTTTGTTTGTTGTTTAACGTCACACTCAGCAATATTCCAGCTATATGACGGCGGTCTGAAAAATAATCGAATCTGGATCAGACAATCCAGTGATTGACATCATAAGCAACAATCCACGCAATTGGAATACGATGACATGCATCAATCAAGTCAGTGAGCTTGACCACCCGATCCCCTTAGTCGCCTCTTACAAGCATAGTCGCCTTTTACGGCAAGCATTGGTTGCTGAAGACCTCTTCTAACCCAGATCTTCACGGGTCAGGACAATTGACTATTGGAACGTCAACACCGTTTTTCATTCAGTCCTGAAGATATATTTCCTTCACTCTGAATCTTTAAGCAAAGACCTCAATATTAAACAGATAAGGCCATTTAACTGGTCTCTTTTTATTTGTAGCATAGGTTGGCAAATCAGTGGAAGGGAATTGGCTATTGGACCATTTTTGAAATGATAAAACATGTTACCTGCGATGACACACACAAAAAAATTGTTTGAACACCACATATGATACATGGCACTAGGGATTGTGTGTTTTGAAACTTAAAACTGAGAAGATCAGAGTCTTTAATTCATCCACACATTTGGAGATATAAAACGGTCTGGCGGACATTGCAGGCTTGAAATTCGAGGTAACTTGACCACATGCATCATGTGACATTGAGTGTTATTTTGACATGTCCACTGAAACAATTATCTTCCATGTATGGGTCACACACTGAAATATGTCATGCATGTAATTACCACCAACGGAGAAGGAAGTTCGCTCAGCCAGGAGAGGAGATTGTGATATCAGATGGAACTGGATAATTATACATATCTCAAATACAATGATCGGATATTGGTGATCAGTAGCTAGGACAAACGGACGCATCATGCTGAGTGCAGTGTTAGCACTCTTTAAACCAATTGACGCACGGGTCATCCCAACTATTATCGTTCGTAGATTATGGTATATAAGGTAGGTGGAATGAATTAAGAGTATTACTGCTGACGTTTGTAAAGGAACAAACACGAGAATGTACAACGCAACACTTGTCCTCAGCATTGTTTTCTGTTGGAATGTCATTGGTAAGTATATTTCATTTTGCTATGGTCGTACGAGAGGTGAGGTGAAATTGGGATTAACGTCGCGTCCAATATTATTGCACCTGTATAGCGACGTGTGTTTGTGTGTGTGGCTGCTTGTACTAGTCCGGACTGATGCCGATTTATGGTACTAGCTCACTGAGATACCATGCCGCAGTTTAACATGAATATCCCACTCAGACACAGTATACTGACTCCGAGCCGACAAGTCCTTGATTTAGCCCCTTAATGCCGAGCGCCAAACAGGGTAACAACAAGTACCATCTTTTAACGTCTTTTGGTATGACGTGGCCAGGGATCGAACCCCGGACCTTCCGCTCTCCGGGCGGACGCTCTACCTCTAGACCACGGGGGCGGTCCTGGTCCGACGTAGAGGCATATAGTTAATATAGAAAACTGCTGTGCACAAGCTCCTTATTCGAGAACCTTGTACGTAATACTGATGGACAAAAGTAATGCAACAACGCAATATGTTGGAACATTATAGTATAGATACTTCACACTGACAAAATATCACACAGCGAAATCAATGTATGTCCGTTACTGGCATTTGCCAGTACGTACGGGATGCGATGTACAACTATGCTTCACCGTTTATAGTCTTAAATTATGTGATGGCCTAGTCATCCCAGGCGCCGCAATTCGCTGTGCAGAGTTGCGTCCCGTCGGGACGCCAGAAACCTATGATTGTGGGTTCGAATCCCGGTTCTCCCCAGTTATGTTCCTAGGTTTTCGTGGGTTTAACCAAAATGGTTAACGTCGGAGACCTGTATCACTTCGGGCTATCCTCTCACATTAAGCTCACACGCCGTGATATAACCGGAATACTGTTCAAAGCGGATTAAACCCTCACGTACCCACGTATTTTATGTCAATATATTTTCCCTAGGTGTAATTAACATGGCGTTTCAAATTATGTTTGAGGAAATCAGAAAATAATGATTTATCGAAATGTAGACATTATCGTCATATCACCCTTTAAACGTCATCAAACTTCCATGCTACAGGGCGGTCGGGTAGCCTATTGGTTAAAGCGTTCGCCCGTCACGCTGAAGACTCGGGTTCGATTCCCGACATGGATACAATGTGTGAAGCCCATTTCTGGTGTCCCCCGCCTTGATATGGCTGGAATATTGCTAAAAGCGGCGTAAAACCATACTCACTCACTCACTCACTCACTCCATGCTACAATTGGCGGTACCTGTTCACGACTATTTCTCACACACAGTATTCGGAGCCACAGTGCCTCACCTACCCGGTGACATGTCGGGAGCCAACGGACAAAGCATATTCGACTTTGACAAGAACGAAGACGGCGTTGTTAACGGCATGGAGCTGTACAGCGTGTTGACCTACCTCGACGGTAGACTCGGTTACACACCGAAAGAGGCCAGAGTCATTCTCCAATTGGCCGATACTGATGGGGATAACCAACTGGACATTTCAGGTCGGGGCAATCCTCCACTTGTTTTTATGCAAAGGAATTTTAATATAGTGCATACCCGTCAACAATTTCGTGTTATATCAAAATAATAGTTTTATCTTTTCTTATAACAGTGATTTTTCATAATATCATGAATATGTTAATTCATTAATAACACAGTTCATGTGTATTAAAAATGATAAATAAAAGCGACAAAACATTTTCAATAATCATCAGAAATTTCTGTATGATTTCGACTATATGATAAACATGAATTTATGAATCAAATAGTGAAAATGTGACCCACCCTTGGCATAACAAACACATGCCAAGGCAAGTCAATTATTCACCTGAAAAACACAGGGACATATGGTAAATAAATATGAACGGATGATACATTTAAAAGATGGTACTTGTTGTTACAATGCCTGATGCTCAGCAATGAGGGAATAAAGCATGGGTGGTTGAAAGTCTATTTAATAAATGCGAGTGGGGTATCCATGTTAAACATGGTGTCTCACTGGGCAAAGCACTTCAAAAATCTGGACTAGTGCAAACAGCCATACGCATACCTGTATACACATCGCTTTAAGAGTGCAATAATCTTGAACGCGACATTAAACCCCAATTCCCCTCAAGTCTCCTCTAAAAATATGAAGTCGATATTTCACTTGAGTTAATATCACGTCATGCCGCATAAGCCTTTGAACATGTGCCTATTCCTGTTTATCAAATTTCATGACAAGTCATTGGACAAGACATGAAAAGGATCATCATGTAATCCATATAGCTCACTGGAGTATATCAATCTGCCGATGTGACGAATATTGTACAGTAATAAATCTATTCAATAGCGCGTTTCGGGGCGGTGGGGTAGCCTAGTAACTAAAGCGTTCGCTCGTCACGCCGAAGATACGGGTTCGATTCCTCACATTGGTAAAATGTGTGAAGCCTATTTCTGAAGTGATATGGCTGGAACAGTGCTAAAAGCAACATAAATGCATACTCACTCACTCACTCACTCACTCACTCACTCACTCAATAGCGCGTTTCGGTGTGCAATATTTCTTGGTAGATGAAAACGTTAGTAGTATAAGGGAAGATATTAATAACTACATTTTCTTTTCAGATCTTCTGCAGTTGTCCATGCTTGTTGAGACAGAATCACTTCAGCACAAATGACAAGTTAAAAACATATATCGTATGTAACTATATTTCACATGTATTTGTATAGTTAAGAAAATATACTTTAAAAATAAAATAGTATTTTGCCCCAGTACTGTCTCTAGTTTTATTTGAGTCAAAACACAATCAACGCGGGTGGAACACACCTAGGCGGTTTGGGTTGCCAGACGCGGTGCTGTAGCTGGAATATTGCGCACGTGTTAATGCTTGCTTTACTGAGCCAGTGAACATGTTCCGGTCGGAGGAGAAACTTGAACTACAGTATAGATAGAGGTCATCACGAGAGTCTCGTTTGGAATGGTAAATATCCTGTAATAGGAATAAACCTGACTGTATTTTGCGACATAATTTCATCCTCAAGTTCATCACAAACGTATTTACATCTCTCACAAATGGTACTTAAACATTGCAGGTTTTCATGGAAAGTGCAAGATCGGGTTCAGTGACCTATGCTTGCCGTAAAAGGCGACTTTGCTTGTCGTAAAAGGCGACTATCGGGATCGGGTGGTCAGGCTCGCTGACTTGGTTGATGCATGTCATCGATCCCAATGTCGGGGATCGAGGCTCATGATATTAATCACTGGACTGTATGGTCCAGACTCGATTAATGATAAACCGCCGTCATATAGTTGGATTATCGCTGAGTGCGGCGTTAAACAACAAACCAACCAACCAACACATTAATATATCCCGTGCAACAGGAATGACATGGAGAAATGCTGAGTATGGACGTGGCGAACAGACAATCCAGGAAGAAAAGCTCGTGATTTCATTAAAATGAACAGACTGTTTCCAGCATGATATTTCATTGGCGGCCTACGCGAGGTCACAGTTTGTTTAACATTGATAAAACGATGTCTTTTCCGCAAGACGAACCACAGGTAGTCACCATAAATAAAGTCCAACCAAATCAACAGTCCCTCCCTTATAGAAGCCGTAACGCAACTTCGTCACAGGGGGACCTGCATCAATTCCACGAACCCAGGTCATCTCGTTCAACGAACTATTCCTTCCGTTTATTATCGGAAGTCGTATGTTTCCACAATCCAAAAATCGTCCTCGGTAAATGACACTTCCAAATATAATACTTACAATTCTTTGTCGTAGATCATTTACTGGACGTCAGACAAATTAAGCAACGATGGGTGCGATGACTTGCCTCAGAGGGCTGTTCTGAAATAGTAGCACATCTAAGTGAGCAAGACCTCCGACCTGTCAGACAGCACTCTGTTGTGTTTTAGATCATGTGAGGCCATGCTGACATGCAAAAGGTTGTATTATGACATACTGCTTAAGGCATAATGGTTTAACAGAAACCTGGTTTGGACATACGGCACCAGTTTACGACGCCCAGTGTGATAATAAAAGCTTAGTTCATGTCGCATCATAAATATCACGAAATAAGGGCCATATTCACAATACAAATAGGTAGTGATAGATTTATGGAAATCAGAAATGTCCAAGATGCACAAGCGTTGAGCATAAGGTTTTGCTAAGGTATGCTTGGACCCCTAAGGAGATTAGGTCGTCGGTGTCCGTACACAACGTGTAGACAATTGGCATCTACCACCCCATAGCTGTTTCTGGAGGCACGCCTGATCGTTCTGTATGGAAACCATAGATACTACTTGCAATTGATTAACTCGTGATGGTCTGACCGACTTCCATATGTATGTCATGTGCGATATACTTGAGCTCCATCGTATTTGGTTTCTGGGATATTTTCACAAATGCCTACAAAAATGAGAACAGATGTTAAGTTGAATTGCATCAGTAAGTGCACTTAATTGTACCGGCTGGGGGACATCGTGATCCGTGGCATTGTAGATAGGAAACGACAATGCCAGAGAATAACCAGTCTCGATTATCCGACGAAACGGATTCTAAAAGGCAAAATGGTGAAAACTATGTGTAGGGATCTTAGGGATGACATCAGATGTTCGCGATTAGGGTTAACATGTCCTGCCTTTCGGTAGCACCCGCCACTGACGCAATTTTTTACAAAAAAGTATGTTCTTTGCCTCTAGCACATCAGGGCTCCTGTCATGTCACGGTGATATGTGAACAAACCAGACAATCAAGTGATGGAAATCAATTAGGATGATATGCTGACTGATAAACAATTGGCACCATACAGCTGTCACGTCCATCTAAGTACAGGGGGCACGGGTGGCCGGCCCAGTCGTCTAGGGCGCCGCGATTCGCTGTGCAGAGTTGCGTACCTTTGGCACGCCAGAAACCTATGAATGTGGGTTCGTATCCCGGTTCGCCCCGGTTATGTTTCTAGGTTTGTCAGCACCATACCCGTGCTCGTGGGTCTCACCGAAGTGGTAAACGTCTGAGACCTGCATCACTTCGGACTTTCCTCCCACATTAAGCTGACACGCCGTGATATAATTGGAATACTGTTAAAAGCAACTCACTCACTCACTCACTCATCTAGGTACACGCTCATTAGTTCATTATTTTATTTTAAGTACATTTAGATTTATTCATACTGTTTACTGTTTAACGGGTTTTGGATTGCACCAAAACAAGTTTACGTTAGAGATACATTTTCAAATTTATAACATGAGTGACAAAAGAATGATGTCCAATGCAATTTTATATTTTGACTTGTGTTATTTTTTCATACCCATGTACGTGGTTTTGAAAGCAAACGGGATGATACGATCACCCTTTCGCGAACACTGTTTGATAGTGGGTAATAAACACATGCTTATTATATATATTGTAGTCAGAATTGTACCCTGTACTTTTGCCGCTTTTATTTTGTAAAACGGCAAATATATAGGATAAGTAGATACCAACCAAACAACCAACCAAACAACCAGCCAACCAACTAACTTACCAACTAACTAACTATATATAAAAGATATGCCCCCGATGAGACTCGTACGCGGTAAAAGTTAAAAGCGCCAGGTAATTAAAACTGTGCTCAATTGTATTCCACTTATGCAATTTTCTATATATTGTGCCTATGAGTAAGACATTTACTGTGCTCTCTCTCCCGCTCTCTCACTGTGCTCTCTCTCGCTCTCTCGCTCTCTCGCTCTCTCTCTCTCTCTCTCTCTCTTTCTCTCTCTCTTTCTCTTAAGATAGGTAGGTAGATATACTGACATGTACGTAAGTAACGAATAACTACCGTATTCGACGTAATAAGCGCCCACGGCAATATTTGCTAATTTATCGGCTAGTGAACAATCCCAATTAGCACCCCTTCCGATTGATCAATGTACACAAGACTTATTTATTTCCGTATAATACGCACTCGTGTGTTATATGTACCCTTAATGATGGGCAATAAAATTCTGAAAAATATATCTGTCGTACACAAACATTTTAGACTGTCAGCATAAACCACGAAATTTATCTTTCAACTCTGGTTTTTTCATCAAAATAATATTCTAATAAGAGACCCCTATTTCTAATTTTGAGAGTGTCCGGGGCGCTTATTACGTCGAATACGTATATAAATATAAGTGTATTTTATGTGTACATTACTTGCTTGATTCAGCTGTAGTGTGTTCGGTACACAGCCAGCAAGAAACTACAGAGTTGCCCTTTTATTATCAACCTGAAAGTCAAAACGGTTTATGTAGAATGACAGTACAGACACGACACGCCGGTCAGGTAGACACTCATCCGGTACAGATCTATCAATACGACATCGGGTCGGCTTTGCACACCGCCACCCAAAACTTACCAGCCAGACAGAGGCGTAGATTGTTGTCAGTTTGTGTGATAGTGTACACTGACATTTGGCATAACGAACCTTCCACAAGATCATATCAGAACAGTGATGAGATGCCACGTGTATCTCCGATCTAGATTCAGTGATTTCATATACATGACACAATAAATTCACCACCAAATGTCAACTGTTCGCCGAAAGCATTTGTATTTCTCAAAGTTCAACGTCTAAGCTCGTAGACGCACGTAAGGTCAGGCACCTTTATACTCCGCACATGGTTGAGATTGGTGAGTGAAAGAATAATGTCTAACACGTTTGTCGAGATTTTGGGTTAATATGAAATGATTTCAAGTTGTAGCGAGGACCAATATCCACTCCAATCAGTCTCGACAAACTATGCCAAACGCCTCGCACAGCCCTCACATGGAACCGTCTGGGAGACTTGTTTCTGATAACATCAACACATGCTGATGCGTCTGGAACCTTTCGTAGACTTGTCAAAACCCTTACCATATTCATAAGAGATTTCAGCAGTGTCTATTGTAGATTTCGACTATGTCGTGAGCACTATCAAAAAGTGGTGATACCAGGTTTTCGCGAAAAGGAGAGCGTACCCCACCGTTCACATGGAAAAACACGGGAACATGTGGTACTAGTCAAAAATAGGGAACTGCATGATTTCTGTCATGAAATGCGTAAAATTTGGAAATGTCCTCCACGTGTGTACCATAACACTTTTTGAAAGGTTTACTGAGGCCTTGAATGTTGTAACCTTGATCAAACAACTTCTCAGCAGTTTGATGCCGCTTTTTGAAATCCTCGTAGAAAGAGCTTGCTCGGTTGTACCTCTACAGTTTTAAATGTAAACACAAAAGGCTGGAGCTGCTGGAATATTGCTCGACATGAAGTGTAAGTTGACTATTAGAAAGTTGAAGTCATCCCTCTTGTAATACCGCCTTGTTGAGATTACTTTGTGACACTTTATGCATACATCTGAACATGAAACAGATGGGGCGGTCCCACTGGTCTTCTTTATTTCAAGTTCAGGTGGGTTAATCAGTGGAAGGGAATTAGTCACTTGATGGTTATTAAACGATATCATGATCATCCATATACTTGAAGCTTAAACCTCTTGGCCAAATTACCTTGTTTTGACTTTGCCATTCCGAGCAGAAATTCCGATTCATATGCATAAAGGTGAGGTGAAATTGGGTTTAACGTCGCGTCCAAGATTATTGCACTTATATAGCGACGTGCATGCACGTGTATGTGTGTGTGTGGCTGCTTGTACTAGTCCGGACTGATGCCGATTTATAGTGCTAGCTCACTGAGATACCATGCCGCAGTTTAACATGAATATCCCACTCAGACACAGTATACTGACTCCGA